AACAACACGACGAACGTAACTAACTAGTATAAGTACTACTACTTAGTCTCTCTCGTCTCTCTCTTAGTAAGGTAGGTACGGAGGACGTATATTCTTCTCTCTCTCTCTCTCTCTCTCTCTCTCTCTCTCTCTCTCTCTCTCTCTCTGGGGATTGGGAGGCAAATTTGCTTTTCTCCTCTCTCTCTAGAAACAGGGGGATCGGGCATATGCTTCCGAGGAATGAAGTGCTCTAATATCATGTTAGAATTCATGAAGCATACATGCATAGACAACATAGGAGAAATGAGAGAGAAGAAAAAAATACAACATTTATAAGAACACAAGAACACGAGGAAGAAAAAGAAAAACACAACATTTACGAGAACACAAGAACGTGGTATGTGAACACAACAATTACGTGGTTCAAGCAAAAGCCTTACGTCCACCAATCCAAAGGCCAATTGGCTACATTTTCACTATGTTGGATCACAACATTTACGTGGTTCAAGCCGAAACCTTACGTCCACCAATCCAAATCTTCACTATTTTGGATCACAACAAAACTTTACGTCCACCGATCCAAATCTTCACTATTTTGGATCACAACATTTACGTGGTTTAGGTCGAAAGCTTACGTCCACCAATCCAAATCTTCACTATTTTGGATCACCAATCCAAATCTTCACTATTTTGGATCACAACATTTACGCTTCACTATTTTGGATCACCTGTCCAAATCTTCACTATTTTGGATCACAACATTTACGTCGTTCAGGCCGAAAGCTTACGTCCACCAATCTAAAGCCCAACGGGCTATATCTTCACTATTTTGGATGAATGTTACATCCATAAGTACCTATATATATATATATATATATAAGGTAACACACAATTACATAGATAATATGGTATCATAAGTTAATGACCAAGTAATTTTGACTTGATGTCTTCTTATTTTCTAGATACCTAATCTTTATCAATAGATATATACGCATACATCCTTTATTAAACTCACACTAACGAAAAATATAAAAAAAATATTTCCAATAAAATAAAATGACCAAAATACCATTGAAAGTTTTAAAGGGTATTTTGGTCATTGTATTATATCAAAACAGTATTTTTAATATTTTTTATAAGTGCATCCAATGAGAAGATGACAAGTACCAAATTTCATATTCATATAATTTGCATAAAAAAACTAAAAATAAAATACTTTATTAGAAGTCCCTTAACTTTATACGTAAGTATTGCCGATTCCACCTAAGTACTTGCCGAAAAAAGATGATGTATATCCATTGCAAACTGGATTACCTTGAGAAAGACCAAAAAATCCTCAACCAATTGTGTAATTTACGGGAGGTCAAGTTCACAGGGCGGCCCACAATGAACTGAGGGCAAATCTGTCATTTTAAAACTAGTAATTGATTTTTTGTTATGTGAAATGGGCTGGTGTTGCAGAGAAATATACAAATAAAGCAAGGAAGATGAAAGAATACAAAGCAATGATTTATAGAGAGGGGATGAAGACGTTTCACCATCTCAACTTGCAAAGTTTGGGCAGAGGCTCTTCTAAACACGGTCGTAAGAATAGTATTTAAGAAAAAGAGCGTTGAGTTCCCCCAGGAAGAGTGCAGAAGCGGGGCCTCTTTAAATCGGTTTTGAATCAGCTTTTGATAAATTCAAGCAAATACAGCACTGATCATGGCTTTCATTTTTGCAAGGGAGGACAGTTATTGGTCTTCATCCCTGTTTGGAGGTAACCGCTCTCTCCCTCTCAATTTGAAGCTTCTCTCCCTCTGAATCTCTGATTGTTAAGTCCGTGAACCCCATGTTCAGGTTCTCACAAGCTGAATCTCTCAAAACTTCAGAGAGAGAGAGAGAGAGAGGATATTTATGTGTTTCTAACAGTTAATCAAACGTTTAGTGTTAGTAATTCAAGATCATGATAATATTAGGCTATGAGAGAGAGAGCCGGGCAGTTATCCATTTCTCAGCACTAATTAAAAGCTTGGCCGGTGATTGAACATTATGATAATATTAGTTTCCAGGCTCATATAACTCAATTAGGAAGGTTCATCATCATCATCCCCTTAGCCTTTGCCCAAACTATTTGAGGTCGGCTACATGTATTCTAGTCCGTCATTCTACTCTATGCAGAAAGCTTGCAAATCATCATAAACCAAGCCTTGTCTGAACTATTTGAGTTCAGCTACATGAATCTCGTTTCGCCATTCCACTCTATCAAGATCCATACCTTTGGGGAGATCATAAGTTACCATATCCCTTCTCAGTACTTCCATGAGCCGTTCCCTTCTAACTAATGTTCTTCATCGACACTACACATGGCTTGATTACCTAAGTCTATTTTCGCTTATCACCTATTGAAATCACTCTAAGCTCCCTTAGATGTATGTATTCTGAATTCTATCCTTTCTTGTATTGCCACTTGTCCATCTTAACATCCTTATCTCAACTATATTCATTCTATGGATGTGTTCTTTCTTGACCGTCCAACATTCAAATCCATAGAGAACTGGTAGCCTTACAACCGTCCTATATAATTCCTCTTTCAGTTTCATTGGTACACACAAGAATCCGAAATACATCTTCATCCACCCAACTCCATTCTATGTGTAACATCTTCCTCAATTTCTTCATTCTTATAGATTATTACCAAGATACCAAATATACTTTCTTTCTGAGTACTTCTTGGCCATTAATATTAACTAATTCTTCATTTTTACTCCCATTTTTATTGAAGCTCCTAAATAATTAGAAAATAATGGAACACTTCAATTATATGTGAAACTACGAGGAACCAACTGATCCTAACTTCAAAACTGGCACCAACTAATAAAGTAAATATGTTCCCTAGTTGCAAGAGGTTCACAGTACATCTCCAAACATTTTAAATTGAGAAGGATTTGATCACTTCCTATATTATTCTCCTTTCTTCTTCTTCTTATTTCTCTTACTCAGAGACACTTTTTTTTATTTAACTACTCTTTTTCTCTTATTTACAACTTTTCTTAATTGTACTGAACAACATCAACAACCAGTTACCTGGTTTTCCTTCAGGTTTACTCTCAGGGGAGTTTCCCAACACCATCACAATAAGCGACTTGCACCTACTCGTTGGAATCATTGGTACTAATTCAAGTTAACCAAGAATCTAAGACTTATCATCAATTTTTTTCTCTTTCTACAATTTTTATAGTTACAGTCCTTTATAGTGTGTTTCAGAAGAGAACTAAAATATCTGATTCTTTTCTCTATTGACAGGAAATGCAACTGCTTTCCTTCTATACACAGCACCAATGTACGTAATTTTGGTTTCTCTTTTTTTAATCTAAGAATCAACATACACCATAAGAACAGAGTAAAGAGGCATAACTACAATTGGCCCACCTGAATTTTGCAGGTTAACTTTCAGGGGAGTGATAGAGAAGAGAAGCACAGAGGAATTCTCATGCGTCCCTTACATAATCTCGCTCTTTAACTGTCTTCTTTACACTTGGTACGGCTTCCCTGTGGTCAGTGACAAGTGGGAAAACATCACCTTGCTCACCATTAATGGGTTTGGCGTTCTGCTTGAGACTTCCTTCATAGCTATCTACTTCTGGTTTGCCCCACGCCAGAAGAAGGTTAGAGGCCTCTACTATACCACCACACATTCCAATTTCTATCATCTTGTTATCTTTCTCCTAAGAAGCTTTACGCTAAGAACTTTTGAGAAACCCCAAGCAAAGGAGCTTACACCACAAGAATCTAATACTACTATTTTTTCTTTTTTGGGCAATTCATCTGAAGGATTGAACTTTGGTTGCATTTCCTCAACAACCAACCAACCAAGCCAAAGACCAAACCCTGAATCTAGTACTACTTGATAGTTCTGCGTATACCACTTGAGAAAATCAAATGTGTTCAATTAAGGGAAACTACTCTGTAATTGACAATCGAGGAAAGCTGTTAGAGAAATGGATAGCATGAAGAAGAAAGAGTTATAATTGAATTATAGAGATAGGGATGACTTTAAAACACACAAAAGTCACAACACAATATTTCTTCAAGAAACCAAACATATTTACATGATTACTAATGTTCACCATTCTAATGCAGAGGTTGGTTTCTTTTCTGGTGTTTGCTGTTCTTCTGGTGTTCCTGACAACTGCATCAATATCAGCATTCTTCATTCATGACCACCCCCATAGAAAAGCACTTGTGGGGAGTGTCGCAGTGGTGGCTTCAGCAACCATGTACAGTTCTCCATTGGTGGCTATTGTAAGTGCATGTTCATGTGCATAGTTAGCAATGCAGATGTATAACTCATTTACATTCCAATGCTACGGCAGCACCTAGAGAACCAACCATACCTACACAAACCAACATACCTATGCACAGTCGCATACACACAAATAAAAATATCTGTAGAAATTCGCGCATACATATATACATACATACTTATACCCAGAGAGACACACACGAGCCTGTGTGCGCGTATACACACACACACACACACATGTATAACACTGTTCAAAAACTCAAACTCAGGCCAACTTGGTCACTCCTAAAACCAAGTCAACCAACTAAGCCAACTACTTAGCTCAGAAAACTCCAGCGAGTTTTTCAAATTTGTGTGTTTTAATTCTGAAAAGAAAACATTTCTATATTGGGAATTGAACCCAAGTCTTCACCTAAGGCATACCAACATACTACCATAAAAAAAATCGTTTACTCATCAAATCAACATAAAATTTTTATTAAAGCAAAAATTCAGACACACCACAATCTTTTAATTAATAAGCCACACCCACTTAACAGGTCAGATTGACTCAGCCAAGCTTTTATCTGACTCGAAACAGATTTTTTTCACTGATACAGAAGATACACATACAGATATACACACACACAGATGCACAGATAGGTGCATAAGTATATATGGCATGAATACATATAATTTGCTTGGTATGATTAATTTATTATTGTGCTGCTACTTATTCATGAAAACTTGAAATCGCCAACTTCTTCATAATTGTTTGTTTTGACTAGTTTCATTCTATGAGTTTTATACTGTTAATTTACATTTTGAATAGTAAACGATGTTTAAAACTTTCGAAGATTGTAATTTCCATAACATGTACTGTAGGGTCGGGTTGTTCAGACTCAAAGTGTGGAATTCATGCCATTCTACTTATCCTTGTTCTCATTCTTCACAAGTTCTCTGTGGATGGCATATGGGTTCTTGGGCAATGACCTTTTCATAGCGGTGAGTCAGTCATCGCCAAACAACATGTGAGACTCTAATCAATACAATATGGGTACATAGACACACAAAACACATACACTTATGTGTATACACATAGATGCAATACATTGTTAAGCATGGCCATGCACCTTGTCAATGTTCAAAATTTCGACCTGACCACCAGAAGGCGAAAACACCTAGGCTCCTCTCAGGCGGGCTTCTTAGGCATCTTGCGTCTAGATGCCCAGGTGCCACCTCGATGCACCCTGGCCGAGGGCCCCAAATCTATGTGTGTTTTAGAGAGTGAAAAATTCTAAAAAATCTAAGATTTTTAGATTTCTATCAAGATCAATTTTTTTTTTTCAAGTTTTCAACATTTTTTATTTTGACATCGAAAGATATACTTCCTCATACTTTGATTTCTTGCCATTGGCCAAATTCCAACTTGATTTTTTTTTTAATGTAAATGTGATGAAATGATGATGTATGTGATTATTTATTTATTTTTAATTTTGAGAGGGTTTTGGGGCCGTAAAACAGACCTAAGAACTTCCTGGGGGCCTAAACACCTGCCCTAAGAACGCCCTGGGAGCCTAAAACCATTTGCAGTGGCCAGGCCTGCCCTTGTTCCTGGGCGGGTGCCTTCAGCCAGGCCCCCAAAACGCACAGGAGGGCACCTCTGAGTTTTTGAACTTTGCACCTTGTCTGTCACACACGTATGGAAGGGGCAGAGAGAGAAAGGGAGGGGCGAAAGGGCGACGGGGGCTTAGGGGGGGTAAGTATTCCCATGCACCTTTGTTGGACAAGGCAATACATTGATCCCGAACCCCACTTTCCTAGCTAAGGTAAAGTAACAATTGGTTGTTCATTGCAGTCCCCTAATTTTGTCGGAGTTCCAATGGCCTTTCTGCAGCTGGTGGTCTACTATACTTACAGAAAGAAGAAAGAGAAAGCAAGAGAATATGAGGAAGCAGACGTGGAGCAAAAGGTGGCCCTGTTGGTCAAGGATTAAAATGTATCACATAAGTCATGGAACAATTAGTTTTTTGTCTTGATTTTAAATATGAATAATCAGGTGAATATTGCAACCAAATCTGGATCTATTTGCTTCAGGTTGAAAGCAAAATGGGAACCCCAAAAAAGGGCAGAAAACTGCAGGTTCTCCTTTCTTCAGAATTTGCTGAGAATAATTAGGCACACATTGCTCTGTGTGTATGCTCGACTTTGTGTGTGTGTCAGAGAAAGAGAGAGAAAGGAGGGGGGGGGGCGCTAAAAGGTAGTAGGAAGCAGTATTCTGACAACCACTACATATTTCTTTCTTTCTCTCTTGGAGTTTTGAAAAAATAACCAAGACTCAAACCAGATATGCTGAGAGAATCTAGACCTTTGATAAAGTATCTACAATGGGCAACAGCAAGTAAAGAATACCATGCACATCCAGAACACAGCCTGAGTTTCCACAATCCATTCCCAACAATGAACAGTAGACTGAGCATAATTCCCAAAAATGGATATTCTAGGTACAGTTAATCTCCACCATCTGTCCTTGAGAAAGGATGGTACATTATCTGGCTGTGTACCATATACCAAACAAAAATGGGTACAGTATACTCAAATTATATGACATTGATTCAGTAAATTGGAAGTGGAAACACATCACATAAAATAAAGGCAGCTAATATCTGCATAACTGAGGAATATTTTAATAATTACTTAACCAATGGATGTTTCCAAAGAATGGGAAAGAAAATTTTGGACAGCATGGATGAGACCTAACAAGCAAAACATGAATCTTTTGTTTGCAAGAAAAATTCTTCATGGATTTTAGTGATGAATTACTTTCTTCTTCCCTTTTTTGCTTTAATACATTTTCTCTCTACCTCTCACATCTTCATTCTTGAACAGCTTGTATGTGCCTACATTGTCATTTGTCCATTATTTAAGGATATTAGTAAAAGAAAAAGTTTATACAAGGTTGCAACCTTAAAATGTAGAATTAAAGATGCAGCTCAAAAATCATCGGAAAATGTTGTTTTACTTTAAAAAAACCCTCTAATTGATCATCTCGACATCAAGAATATGAAAAAAAAAAAAGATTTGAGTCCCAAATAGTGCATCTTGCAACCCATTATCTAGACCGTCCATTTTCAAGATTTTCATATGTTTATAGATCTACTTGATTTTAACCATTTTTGGAGTTAAAAATTTTGTCATTAGATAATGATAATAAAATTTCAAATAATCCTAAGAATTTTTTACACCAAAATTACATGTTATGATAAAATTTGGAGGTGTGCCTTCATTGGATTGTTTAAGGTTGCAACCTTATAAAAACCACACCCATTAGTAAATTGTCCCTAATTCGTACCTAAATGAGTTGGTCTCAATGGAGTACACTCATCTTCAAAACTTTCAAAATTTATGGGGCTAGGAGATGGAATTTAGAAATAGTTTTTCATTTCTATTGAGCTGTTATAATTCCTCGACTTCCAAAATACTCATATATCAAGTCTAAATGTTATGCAGCACAAGGTACACAAGCAAAGTCTTTTCCTCTTCTTATTATTTTAGGCTTAGGTTGCCACATAAATTTCACAACACTATCTAAAACAACATTAACATCACCCTCTTCTCCCACTTATTCCACCATAGCATCTATGTATCCAAGTAGAAACCCTCATTCTTCATGTATTGATATGCATCTTAGTCCCTGATATATTAGAAACATGATGGTAAAAACTCTTAACCAAAAAATTTATTTACCATCCTTCCTTTATATCCATCCACATATGACACATAATACTTCAGCCAAAGACCTGGTACTTCTTTCTATTCTCTACCTCCTCAAACAACCAATCCTTGTTTCATGCATTGAGGTTTAAAACAGAGGCCAGAGTTTGCAGTGTCCTTGTACTTTAAACAATACAACCGAGTAATGACAAACCTAGGAAAGAGAAAACAAGGAGCATATTAAAAAAGAAAAACCTAGATGTGCAATGACACACTGTTTCACATACACCATTAATGGTCTACTGTAGTTTCATGGTATTACAAAAATCTTTGAGGCTATGTTTACCAAACTTGTGAGTTAGAGGAACCTTCACACACCATCATCACTACCAACCATCTATTTGCTTCAGGTTGAAAGCAAAATAGGACCCCAAAAGAAGGAAGAAAACTGCAGGTTCACCTTTCTTCAAAGTTTGCCGAGAATAATTAGGTGCACCATGTTCTGTGTGCATGCTCGGCTTTGTGTGTGTGTGTGTGTGTGTGAGTGAGAGAGAGAGAGAGGAAGGGGGGGGGGGGGGCGCTAAAAGGTAGCAGGAAGCAGTATTCCGACAACCACTACATATTTCTTTCTCTTTTGGGGTTTTGAAAAATAACAAGACTCAAACCAGATATGCTGAGAGAATCTGGACCTTTGATAAAGTATATACAATGGGCAGTAGCAAGTAAAGAATACCATGCACATCCTCAGTATGTTATACAGAACACAGCCTGAGTATCCACCATCCATTCCCAACAATGGACAGTAGACTGAGCATAGTTCCCAAAAATCGATATTCTAAGTACAGTTAATCTCCACCATCTGTCCTTGAGAAAGGATGGTACATTATCTGGCTGTGTACAATACACCACACAAAAATGGGTACAGTGTACTCAAATTATATGACATTGATTCAGTAAATCGGAAGTGGAGACACATCACATAAAATAAAGGCAGCTAAAATCTGCATAACTGAGGAATATTTTAATAATTACTTAACCAGTGGATGTTTCTAAAGAAAGGGAAAGAAAAATTTTGGACAGCTTGGATGAGACCGAACAAGCTAAACATGAATCTTTTGTTTGCAAGAAAAATTCTTCATGGATTTTAACATGATGAATTGCTTTCTTCTTCCCTTTTTTGCTTTAATACATTTTCTCTCTACCTCTCACATCTTCATTCTTGAACAGCTTCTATATGCCTACATTGTCATTTGTCCATTATTTAATGATATTAGTAAAGGAAAATGTTTATATAAGGTTGCAACCTTAAAATGTAGAATTAAAGATGCACCACAAAAATCATTGGAAAATGTTCGTTTTAATGTAAAAAAAACCCTCTAATTGATCATCTTGACATCGAGATGTATGAATATGAAAAAAAAAAAAGATTTGAGTCCCAAAATGTGCATCTTGCAACCCATTATCTAGACCATTCATTTTCAAGATTTTCATATGTTTATAGATCTACTTGATTTTAACCATTTTTGGAGTTAAAATTGTTTTCATTAGATATGATAATAAATTTTCAAATAATCCTAAGAATTTTTTACACCAAAATTACCTGTTATGATAAAATTTGGAGGTGTGCCTTAATTGGATTGTTTAAGGTTGCAACCTTATAAAAACCACACCCATTAGTAAATTGTCCCTAATTCGTACCTAATAGAGTTGGTCTCAATGGAGTAGAATGATCTTCAAAACTTTCAAAATTTACGGGGCTAGGAGATGGAATTTAGATGTTGCAATGTAGGAGATGAAGATGAACATCACCGAGGAGAGACACTAAATAGTTTTTCATTTCTATTAACCTGTCATAATTCCTCTACTTCCAAATATACTCATTTATCAAGTCTAAATGTCATGCAGCACAAGGCATACAAGCAAAGTCTTTTCCTCTTCTTATTATTTTAGGCTTAGGTTGCCACATAATTTTCACAACACTGTCAAAAACAACATAAACATCACCCTATTGTCCCACTTATTCCACCATAGAATCTATGTATCCAAGTAGAAACCCTCATTCTTCATGTATTGATATGCATCATAGTCCCTGATATATTAGAAACATGATGGTAAAAACTCTTAACCAAAAATTTTATTTACCATCTTTCCTTTTGAACCATCCACAACATCAACAACACCATCATCATTATTATAGCCTTTTCTCAATTATTTGGGGTCGGCTACATGAATCCTGGTTCTCCATTATGCTCTATTAAAGGCCATAACTTCAGTGAGGCTATAAGTCCCCATATCTTTACAGACTACTTCCAACCACGTCTTTTTGAGCCTACCCCTTGCCCTTTTCAATCATTCCACTTGAACTAATTCGCACCTCCTAACAAGTGTTGTACTTCGTCGACGCCACATATGGTCAGCCCACTTAATGTAGACCCTTGATGTAGACCTATTGTCACTGAAAACTCACTCGTCTCTCCACTAGTTGTTCGTATACTAGTAACCGCTCCATCGTACATATCTCACACCAAGTCGATGTAGTGTCTAGAGACACCTTTTCTTTTCAACACCCGCCAAATCAAATCCCAAGGTATTCTATCATAAGCTTTCTCTAGATCAATAAAGACCATATGGAGATCTTTTCCTTTCGTTCTAAACTTTTCAATCGGTTCCCTAAGCAGACAAATAGCCTCAGTTATTGACCTTCCTGGCATAAAACCGAATTGATTTTCAGATACACTCGTTTCATGCCTTAGTCGTTGCTCAATGACTCTCAGAGCTTCATAGTATGGCTCATTAGTTTGATCCCTCGATAGTTTGCACAATTTTGTATGTCTCCTTTGTTCTTGTAAATAGGCACTACAATACTTTTTTTCCATTCGTCTAGCATTTTCATTGTTCTCAACACCTTGTTGAACAGCTTTGTCAGACAGTCAATGCGAATTTCCCCCATGCACTTCCAAACCTCTATAGGGATACCATCTGGTCCTAAAGCCTTTCCTATATCAAAGATTTTTGTAATACCAATGAAACTATAGTAGACCATTAATGGTGTTTGTGAAACAGTGTGCCATTGCATATCTAGTTTTTTCTTTTTTAATATGCTCCTTGTTTTCTCTTTCCTACATTTGTAATTGCTCGACTATGTTGTTTGTGGGATTACTCGGTCGTATGGTTTATAGTACAAGGACACTGCAAACTCTAGCCTCTGTTTTAAACCTCAATGCATGAAAAAGGAATTGGTTGTTTGAGGTAGAGAATAGAATGAAGTACCATATCTTTGGTACAAGTGACGATGGAGGTTATAGATACATTCGTAGGATTAGGATGTCGGAAGTGAAGGAAGCTTTGAAAAGGATGAAGACAAGATTAGAGGTGTATTACAAAACCTTTACACACCATCATCACTACTAACCATGGATTGCGCAATTAGATTACTATGAACTTTTCATCAAAATGAAGCAGCCTACTAGTTCCTTTTAAGGGTTTCCAGTTATTAAGCACCCACCCCCCTCCCCCCCCCCCACCCAACTGAAACAAAAAAAACCGTAACTCTCTCTCTCTCTCTCTCTCTCACACACATGCACACAAGCGCACGCACACAGGTGAGCGTAACATCCTCATCTCCAAATCCAACTAATGAATCCTATACTGAGGCACCGTAATAATAGGGCAATTTTGCACCCTCAACTTACGCATCTATAAAAGAGGTTGAGTGCCTCACATGTATTCATAACAAGTTGATTGAGTGCCTCACATGTACTCATAACAAACCTCAGAACTGAGATTATTAAACTCAAAGATATGTCATGAGTGGACTTCATGTACCATTTGATATTCATGTCAGTGTTTGAAATTTGAGAACCCAGACTCAGTCATGTCCAAAGGCTGAGCCCATGAGCTCCATTCACTGATTCATGTGAATTTACATGTGACAAATGCTGATGTCAACCAATGAATTCAAAGCATGACTTTCCCATTTTATTTTTCAAAATTCTAATCCTAAACCATAAAAGCAATCAAATAGCCACACCTACCATCTCCTTTACATAATTTCCAACAGGTCCTATTGTGCTAATCAAGAAAGTCTTTGATGCACACCAGAAAGATATGTGGCTTCATCCACCTCTAAGGTGAGATACTAGTGCATCAAACAAAAATATTGACATGCTGGCTGCTACATAGAGGATACAAATGGAAATATCAATCATTATTTTTCGTTAGTAGGTTTAAACTGGAAGAGAAAAAGGAAAAGATAATTTGAGCAAGACCCAAATCTCGCTACATTTTCTGATTTTTCTACACTCAAAAGATACCAGGGCCCATGTACTTAAACGCTTGACTGTAAATACTTCCAATCAACAATTATATATAAAAACCCATATTTATCAATAAATTAAACCAAAGATGGGAATTAAAGTAACGTTCCCAGTTGTCTATTCCTTGTAAAATAGTTGGAAATCCTTCAAATATTGAGTACTTCAATATCTTACTTCCCAACCGAACTGACAAGATTACTAATTATCACAACAATAAGACAATGAACACAACAAAAGAACATTGTGTTGCATTTGGTAAACCCCAAACAATGGAGACACAATGTTGGCATGGACAAAAAATTCACAAAGATTAAACTATAGATATTACACACACGATCAAGCACAAGCAAACATTTCCCATTAAATTTCGAAATGATAAAACAAATTATATCTAAAACACTCAACCTCGATTCTCAGGAGATGAGATAATATTAACATGCCCTTGACATTTGCAATCGTATATAGCCGTTTACTTGTTGAATCTAATGTCACATAATCAAATGATGAGCACTAATGTGATTGGGACAACCATTCATATGTCAATCACAGAAAGCACCAAGGCACCAAGAAGTATCATTGTCATAAGAAGCATTCATTGGACAGTCATCTGCCAAGGAGGCACCCAAGGACATGTTGCCCAAAAGTACCCCGCCTAGGCTTAGGCGGGGTGCTCATGCCCACTAGGAAGGGTGGGGAGGGCCAGCCACCAAGGTAGAAGGCTGGTCATTTTTTGCTCTACGCGCTTGACTTAAATGTGATTCCTGTTGAGGACAGTCCAAAGTACTTGTCCCAATTGGCACCTGCTTTTTGTCTAGCTTCTTGGATATTATTATACTTATAAATAAGGGAGAGATAGAGGAGTTTGGTCCTTCTTCCTCACATTGACACTAGGCTCAATGTACTTGAACTCCAAGATGGATGAGAGTGATAAGTATGAACTGCAATGCCCTCTACAAATCGTTTGTCTCCATTGGCAACCAAGTATTCAATAACAGTTAACACCAGGCATGGTGCATGTTTCTACCAGTATCAGTCAAAAAAAAACACTAGAAAACAAGACATAACGCCTTGCATAGATGTGCCTTATAGACATGGCATTTGTAAGTATATAGAGGCACATTTTTAATTTCTTTTTTTGTTTTAGGTAGTTTAGCAGTGGGTTTTAAGTAAAAGATATAGTGTTCCAGCTGCCAATACCATAAGCAATCAATTCTCTGCCCAAATCCAATATACATGCATATATGCTGCACATAGCCAACCCACCTAAGTCTACTTTTCTCATCGTATCACCTAATGGAGCCACCCCTAAGTTCCCTCAGGGTGTATTCATTTCGGATTTTATCCTTTCTTGTCTTACCACTCATCCATCTCAACATCCTCATCTCAGCTACACTCATTCTATGGATATGTTGTTTTTTTACTGCCGAACATTCCATCCCGTAAAGCATCGTTGATTTTACAGCCGTCATATAGAACTTCCCCTTCAGTTTCATTGGTAGCGGCAATTACGTAAAACTCCATAATCACATCTCCACTTCCCCCACCTTTAATATGGTGTGCAACATCTAACTCAATCTCTCCATTCTCATGGATTATCGATCCTAGATATCACAAATAATCTCTTTTAGGTATTTATTAACCATTAATCTAAATTGCTACCTTGTTTCTGCTCCTATTATTACTAAACTTGCATTCCATAAATTTTCTCTTATTCCGGCTAATTTTAAAACTTTTAGATTCCAAAGCATCCCACCAAAATGCTCACTTTATTTTGACACTATCTCTAGTCTCATCAATCAAAACTATGTCATCTGCAAAAAATATACACCATGGTACCTCACCCTGTAGAAGCCTAGTTAACTCGTCGATAGCCAAAGCAAAGAGATATAGGCTCAACGCTGACCCTTGATGTAGGTCTACTGTCACTGAAAACTCACTTGTCTCCACTAGTTGTCTTGACACTAGTTAATGCTCCCCCATACATATATCACCACATTAATATATCCTCTAGAGACTACTTTCTTTTCTAAAACCCACCAAATTAATTCTCCAGGTAACCCTATCATATACTTTTTCTAAATCAGTAAAGACAGTATGGAGATCTTTTCTCTTCTCCTTGAACTTCGCAATCAAGTAGGAAAATATCCTCAATTGCTAAAAATATCAGGCATAACACTGATTTGATTTTTCGATACACTCGTTTCATGCCCTACTCGTTGCTCAAGCACTCTCTCCTACAACTTCATAGTGTGACTCATAAGTTTGATTCTTTAATAGTTCATGCAGTTGTGTATATATTCTTTTTCTGTAAATACGTACCATAGTACTTTTTCTCCATTCATCGAGCATTTTCTTTGTTCTCAACTTCCTGTTCAACAACTTGGTCAACCAAAATATGTCAGTCTCTCCCATGCACTTCCAAACCTCTATTGGGTTTCCTAGCCTTTCATATCTTTATCTTTCTCAAAGCTTCTTTTTCTTCAGATATCCTAATCCTACAAACATATCCATGACCTCCGACCTCATTAAAGATTCCTCCTAACGTTGTGCCCCCATATATCATCCACACACACACACACACACATACTCACACATCTACATATCTGTCTATCAATACACAAGCGCATATTATGGAAAAGCAGCTGAGAAAAAGACAGGAACGGTAACCCAAACCTTAAAGTTACAGAAACCATAAGATATTCTAGTATAGAAAACCATGGATATACTAGGAAGCATGACATATAGCCACAGTCACATGTATATGTAATGATTTCTGATGTGAAATGATGATTACTTAGATAAAATGCAACTAGCCCAAGACACGGTAGACATGCTAATGGTGATAATATATCTAGTGTTCATAAGCAATCCTATGAATTCTCTAAATAAGTAAATGATTGTTTTAGGACCTTAATAATATTTTCTCATCCAATCTATGCTAACAATTGAATCGGCATATATAAAATAATCAACCCAAAAAAAACATATCTAATGCTATCTATAATATGACACCAACTGAATACACATGTATAAACTAGTCTACCAAAAAAAATCAAGTACTCTCGATAATATGACACTTTGCTTATTAATAATTTGCAGATAAAATTTCTATAACCACAGAACCACTAGTTGCCTTTCCTCAAATTTTGCAGAGCTTTAAAAATTAATAAATATCTCATGTGGTAGCAAAATTCCTGGAGCATTATGTCCACATCATGCAGAAATCTATAGAACCATTACTGTTTATTACAGAAAATTGTATTAATACAGATTCAATTTAGGGAAAAAAATACAGTCCCAATAAACAGAAACCAACATATACAAACCAAAGTAGCCATATACACATAAAAGACAAGAAAGAACCATATCTGGACTGGATAAACTCCATAGAGGCACAAAAAGATAATATCTCTCCACAAGACACGGAGGAAAGAAGGAAACCAAAATAGATTTTTTGGGTTAGTAATGCATGACATTTTGAAAGAAGCGAGAAACAAAAAAAAACAAAAAAAATTGGCAGAAACATAAGTCTGATTTCCCCACATACAAAAGGTTGAATTGTTGATGTTCCAAGAAATGAAAGTTTTACAAGGCTGGCAGAAAGAACTGATATTGGATGGTCACCATCAGACATAATCTACAGCAGTCAATTTGCTTATGCAACAGAAGAAAGAGCAGGAAAGAAAACAAACACCAAGAGAACATAAAATTAAACTTACTGGATTAAGAGCAGATTTTCATAATAGATTGAGCATAATTATAGCCTCATAGGAAGAATAGCATATGATACATTAAGGTTATATCCAACAACTCCATATCAGTCCCAACTGAAAATTGCTTCTAGAAGTGATATGCCTTCTTTCAAAGGAAGCATAGGGCTTCAAACTCAAGAAAATTTATCAAAGCACCAGAGTTTCTTCCCTTTCAAAAGTATTCATATGCCTCTTCAGGGAACTATCGCTCTCTCTTCATGATAAACCTCAGTGCCAAAATTAAGGATGCTTGAAAATTGTTCTCACCAGCGTTCCCTTGGTCTACCATCAGGGAACACAGGAACAAGCACTTTCTCTTCATTCTTTCTTGATACCTCAACATCTTTAAGTTTATTTCTCTCTCCAAGACTAATACTTTCACTGTCTTCAAAGTCAGGAGGCATCTCGTCACCTTCATCATCATCATCATCATCCCATTCATCCTCATCATCATCATCATCACCATCACCATCACCATCACCATCACCATCACCATCATCATCAAATCCATCAGTTAGGAAATCATCAATATCCGACCACTCACTTCCATCTTCGGCTCTATTTGTCTCTTCTCTTAACCCATCTCCATGACCATCATCCCCATCATCCATGCCAGACTCAGGCATAGGCCTTCTCGGGAAACGAGGCACTGCAACAAGAGACCTGAACTTCTCCTTTACAATCAAAAGCCTATCCTTATCCAACAACTGAGAATTCCTATAGGCTTCTCTAAGGAAAACCGAATCTCTATCCCCCTTCAAAGACACATAAAACATATCAGGATGCCTTATAAGCATGCCCCTAAGTTGTTGAGAGAACCTGAATTCTTCCCTAAAATGAGTGACATGATCAACCAAAGTCCTCTTCTCAACTGTTAAACTGAGAATTTCATGAACAACCCCAGAAGCATGTTTCTCTTTCTCAGGTGTACCTGCCCTCAAATTCGTGAAATCCGAGTAAGGAGAGATATAAGGAAGGTCCCTGAATTTGGAAATCTTTCTCATCTCACTCCTTGAAAGATTGAGACCCTTTGGCAGATTCACTCTGTTGAATTTCAAAGGCCTATCAATTATGAGATTTGCTTCCTCCCTCTCTCTAGCCTGATTTTCTTCGAAACTAAGTTCAGCTGCAGAAACTGCAAGTTCAGGGTCCCAGTGTGTCAATTCAAGTGCGGGTCCTCGCTCAGTTGGAACAACTCTAAAATATTGAGGATACCGATGACAAATAGTGTTTCTAAAATCCAAAGGAAGCCCAAGATCAGTCCTTAAATGTGCAAGTTTCTCCAAAAGAATCCTCTTTTCCAAAGACATCATCAATAATTTCCTCAATTTAGTCACTAACGTTCCTTCCATCTCATTTCTAATCTTTAGTTCCTCCAAATAAACTTTTTCAGCTTCTGCGGTCAATCTAAATTTCAAGGAATAAACCCCTTCTTCAACAATCTCGAAAACAGCAGGAAATCGTCTAAGTAACGCGATAAAACGACGCTTTTTGGTGAGACCCAAGTCCCTTCTATACCTTCCTAGGGCTTTAAGAGACATAGTTCTATCAGGTTGGCTAACAAGAATGCTTCTGATTTTTAAGACCAGTTTGAGTTTCTTGTCTCTCTGAATCATGTTATCAAAAGGGAGTTCCTTTCGCCTCTTAACCACAGCTTGAATAGGAGAAATGACTGATTGTGTTTTCTTCCTATGAATCCATTCCAATTGGGTTGCATGGAGAACAAGCTCCTGGCCTAGAAAGAGATTTTGGGTAAGTCTAAAATGGATGGGAAGTTGGGTTTTAAGGGGAGGAAAAGGGTGGGTTTTGAATGTAGAGAGAGAAGAGGATGGAAGAAGCATCGAATAATGGGTGGAAGATAAGGGTTTTGTTGCAGAAAAGCTTAGTCTAATGTCCATGCTCACTAAAACGAACAATCCCTAAAGAAAATACAAAGGAGAGAGAGAGAGAGCTCTACTCTTTCAAACTCGTATAGCCCTATCCTTTCATTGCAGAGCTAAGTATTTGAATTGGTTTTGAAGCAGAAGGAATGAAAATCTCCATTTACAGTGAGAGAGATCTTCTACTCTTTATCCTTCAAACCAGAACCATATTTGAATTTGGGTTTCAAGAGAAGAGCTTGAAAATCACACTTATACACGCGCAGAGAAAGAGAGAGAGAGAGAGAGGATTTGAACAACTGCAAAAGAATTTCAGAACCGAGACTAGGGCTTTCCAGTGGAGGAAAGATACCCGACCGGCTCGTCGAAGAGGAAGATATCTAAACCCAAATTTACGACACTTCACTCTACGAAAGTGGGGAATGCCAAAAGATTTCCTACTAACTCGGGACTATACTGTCCCTTAGGTAAAACCATTAGATCTTAAATTTTGGGATATAATTTATAAATAATCTCAGCAAAAACAACAAGGAAAATTTGTTAAAACCTCCCAAAATGGATTTTTTACGCATTTTACCCCCAACCCAATTTTTCCTACCAACTTCCCATAAAAAATCATGTTTCCTAGCAAATACCCTTATAGAAAAAGTTAAATTTTTTTTTAACAAAAATATCATTCTCTCATATAACAAATCATTTTTGGATCCCAATAAAAGGAAATGCGGGACTGCACTTGTATGCCGGACTGCTCACTTCAAAATACGAACAACTACTTCAAAATGTCGGACTGCCCATTCAAAATGTCAAACCGCAACTTCAAAACGTCAGACCGTCCATTCCAGTAAAAAATAATCGCGAACCGCCACCATGAAACGCTGGACCGGCCATTCCCATAAAAACTAATCGCCAAACCGCCACCATGAAACGCCCGACTGCCACTATGAAACGCATTATCGTTGGACCACCTGTGCAAAATGTCGGACCGCCCTCTCCAATAAAAATAATTTATTATGAGGGAAGGGTATTTTTGTTCAAAAACTAATTTTTGTATGAGGGTATTTGCGAGGAAATGTTGATGGGTAAAGTACCTAAAAAGTCCATTTTGGGGGTTTTGCCATTTTCCCAAAATATAAATCCAAAGTAAATTCTTTATAAACTATAAAAAATAATAATAATGCATCAAGATTGAATAAAAACCGTCCAATTTTTGAAGGGCTAGATCTAAGTATCACAAAACTAAAAATCCAACTTTTTTTCTTTTATAAATATCTATTCAGTAATTTTTATATGTTTCTTAAAATTATAATCTAAAAATATCCTCCTAAATTGGTGTTTTGAACGAGGGAGTAGCTACACAATATTCTCCCGCAGGTAGTATTTTGCTCATAAAAAATAATATATTTCTTCTATTCTGCTAGCATACAAGAAGCATACAGCGTACTTTGTTCCATAAAATATTTGTTTTATGTTTTATCAGCGTCCAATAAATGAACTGACGGTACACGAAGAGCGATTGGACCCACGTAAGTCTATTAGATGACATAACATGAACGGCAGCTTTCCTCACCTTCCAGCCATTATTTGAACGGTGAGAGACACTTATGACACAATGGATCAATGCCCAATGGATCATCGACATTCATATGACTAGAATATACCTAGAACTGCATTGAAATATGTAAAGCACCCTTAATATTTACTTTTTTTAACTAAAGACAGCATTCATTACACAAGGTAATACCACCTAAATATATATATATGTGGGCATATCAACTAGCTTATGGATAAAGTGGTTATGTTAAAAAGATTGTTTCACTTAAGTATCTCCTAGTCATTGATTTAAATTTTGTAGTTTTTGCAGATCATAGATTCATATGGTTGTGCCTCAAAATTCCGGTGAAAATTGCAATTTCTATACCAACAAACTTTGTGATGCACGATACTATTTCCAACCATTAATGTGGAAATTGAAGCTCCAAAAATGTACAACTATGGTTGATCTATGAAGACTTGAAATAGAAATCAATATTCAAAAGATCGAACTAGGCCGACCATGGGCTGGTTCCGGTTGGATGGGAATCTAGATGGTTAACCGATCTGATTCAGTCAAGTAAAAATAAAAATAAAAAAATTGATCAAAAATCCAAAAAACAAAAAAAATATGTAAGTTTTATGTATATTTTGTTATTACCTACATTTATCTTAAAAAAGTAGAATTAAAAAAAATATATAAATTAATATACAACATAATTTAGAATTTGGCATACACTAATTTAATAGAAAGAGTTACAAAGTGCTACTAATATTGGCTACTAGTAATGAGAGTGGCTAGGGGGATGAGGTACTCTTGTGTCCCACTATCAAGTTCACAGGGTTTACTGTGCAAAAAAAAATCTGAGTACACCCTGGTGGAGTTTGTAGTGCTGTAGTTGTGCCCCATCGCCATTAAGGAATATTTTTCGTATTACTCCCTTGGCCAAAATCTCCTAGACTTGTCCAGCCTTTGTGCTCTCCCCCTCCCAGGTATGTGTTATGACCATCAACAGCTTCAACATTATCATCATCCTCAACAATGTGGTTACGGTGCCAGCTACAGCTTTGTCCCTCCCTTGCCAAGTAGCTGCTAGGCCTCGATGTTTGGACTTCCTCACATACCAATCTCAGTGCATCATCTACCTCTACATTGGGCATCGTATCATGTTGTGTCCCTTCACAATACTCCATAACTGGCTCTTACCAATCGTTTTCCATTGCTCCATCTGTCTCTTCGTCATTATGATCCTCATCTTCATCATATGCGTACTCCCCATCATCGGTGTCCATGTTCTTTGTCATGTCTCCTTCATTGGGTGTTGTAACGTCTTCATTATCATCCATATTGGTATCTTCTCCCCTAAGGAAATCATGGTCTAAATACTGCAGTATTTTGCGATACTCACTAATCGACGAGTTCCTTTCAAAAGACGTAATCAAGGTTGATGAATGTGTAGTATGTGGGTGTCTTCTTTATTTGTCTCTCTCAATTTAAAATTATAGCGGATGTACACTAAATTATGCAGCGTCTGAGTCTTTAACTTATTTCACCTAGGAGTATGTATTCACTGGAATGTACCTTAGTTTTTCCCGATAAAGTGCAAATTTGACTCAATGCTCTGACTATAGTCTTTTGTAACTACTTCATTCAAGTTTCATGCAGTGTCCACTATTGTGCAAATATAGACAATACTTAACAATAGAAAAATAATAAATTTTAAAAATCCACAAATAGTAGTGTACTAAGCTATTATAACTATCCTAGGTGCAATTTTGCAACTGTTTTTTTCGCATTATTGTATGAAAATTCACCACTTTTTTCAATGGACATAATAAGCTACAAAGAGCAATACCAAAACTTGGTACAACGTAGTAATCCAATTCATTATTTTGAATTAAATTTTTTATTACAAACACGTATTGCTAAAGGTTTACCGGCTGCATACACTCCAATTGAGTATCATAATCAGGCTCAAGCTTGTAAATGTAGTTCATGGCCCCCTCCATTATATCCGAATCGTCTAAGATGGCATTGGAGTACAAGTTTTGAGGGTCAAGAAAGAACCCTACACGTCTTTTAGTACAGTATAAATTATGCCAAATTTACTCATAGTTGATATGGAACAATAAATTGTGGCAATGAATCATAAATTACACATCGCATGGATTTCACAATGCAGTTGATGTCTCCACCTACAATCGACAATCGCCAAAATCTCATAAGTCCATATGTTATTTTGAATTATCGCTTCCCTTGCATGTGTCATTGCCTCGAATAATAAACTTATTGCTGGTTTATCATCCGAGTCAAGTAAGCTTAACACTTGCACTAGTGATTCAGTTACGGAAACACCATGGTTGCATCGAGCCAATAACCTCCAATCGATAAGGACACTTTCAACCTCCCTTCCACTTTCACTCATTGCTTTTCTACTAAACTACCGCTTGCCGGTTCTATCTTTGACCTCAATATTGCCTTGTTGTATGACAATGATGGTATAATAAGGAATGTCGTGATGAACTTAGTAGTGGACTTCCTGACAATCTCTTGCTTACAACATTCCTTTAATAAAGCGTAGAGGTACATATTTTTATATATGAATCTTGCAATTATTTTGCACTTTACAATACAAATTTAGATTCTCTTCAACTTTCCCACGTTTTTAAGTATTAAATTAATATAATGGGCAGCATAGGGAGTCCAATAAATATTGAGTTTTTTCTCCATTAGCAATTGCCCTGCTTTTCCGTAATTTGCAGCATTGTTAGTCGTTATTTGGACCACATTTTCAGCCCCTACCTCATCTACAATCTTATCCATGTGCATGCATATTGCAGTCCTTTTTTTTATTTGATAGGTCAATGCTATAATGATAAATAACCTCAGTGGAACTTATTAAGAAATTTACAAGACGCCAGTGGGCTTGTCCTTCTAATTATCTATCATGATGCACACTCCAATACCTGGGCAGCATACCATGAACTACGCAATATGACTATCTACATCATTAACATCTTCTAAACATGGTCCTGCAAGGTTCTTCACAGTTGGAGCTTTAAAACCTAGACCTCAGTTGGAGCTTTAAAACCTAGACCTGCATCAGTTATAGCAAATACCATCTAAGAGTAATAGTATAATTATGTAGAATTAAATAGTAATGCATTAGCATACGTAAACATGTTAATCATCTTACGAGCCATTTCCACGAATTTCCCTCCAAACAAAATTTTTTATGTTTTTTCTGACAGTATTCTGGCCTGTGGAGATCAAGTCCAAAAGGTTCACAGGGCATTGGTGGCACATCTACTGGTTCAGGTCAGTAAGTAATAGATGGATGACTATAAAAAGATGGCGGACTAAAAACGCTATGCCTAATTCTACTAAATGTGGACCTAAGTAGTGAAGACCCGTATCCTCTTATACCCAACATTATGGGTTGTTGAGGGTGGGGGTACCAATTCTATGCTTTTGACAGATCCCTTAAATTTGTGTTACTCTAACCTAGGCTCTAAGCTGTCCAACAAATCAATATGAGGATCTATAGTTTTGGGTGCTATGTTCTTTTCATTATTGTAATTGATCACAATGTAAATCCAGACATGTTTTAAAAAATTCAGGTCCTATAAAATCTTTGTGATATGTTGTTTTGAGGTTTTGTCAATGTAGTAAATGAACATTACCATCCAGAATTACTATTCCCCTGTAACACCTATGGGTATGTGACCATAGAAATCTATAGCCATAAAAGCCATCATTGTCCAATGACTCCACGCGCTAAAGAGGGATGAACCACCATAAAATAATATGAAACCCAGTGATTGGTTTTCTCTTTTCTCTTCCTGCTTGTCCCATTGTTTACCACAAAAAATAACATGAATTTGAGTCGTGGGTTCTTCTATTCTCTTCTCATCACTATCCCTTTGTTTGGATTTTTTTACTAGATCAACAAAAAGAAAGATCCTCTGCATATGACAATAATACAACTCAAGACATCATGTTGTGATTGTGATGCCCCACCACCCTAAACTACTTATGCTCTAAAACCATGCTTGATTACGGTTCTTTGTTTGATTGAGAGATATTAAGATTTATCACATCATGCCTTTTATAATTCTGTGAATCGTAATAATACACTTCTATTACTTTTAGAAAAAATTCCCCCAAAATTGCATTGATTATTTTTCTCTTTTTTAAAATTATTGTGTCATGGGAACATTAATGTGTTCATGTTCTTAGAAAATAACCGAAGATTAGATACAATGCAATGTGATACTATACTACAATATCACCATTAAAAAAAGGGAAAATTATTAAATACACCCAATATTTGAACTACATAATGTTTTACTCTAGGTGTATTTTGATAAATTTCTAAACCCATTTTTATGTGTTGATGGGAATTTAAATTTGATCAAGAATGAGGGGTATTTTGAAATTAATTCAAAAATTGTGGGTAAGATACTATGTAGTTTAAATTACATGTGCAGTTTGATAAATTTCCCCAAAAAAAAGTTATACCAAATGATATTTCATGGAAACAGAGAGAAGAAATTGCAATACCATTATCATACCAACGACAACACATAAGCACCACCAACAATCCACCACCCTGATTGTCTCTTCTAAATAATTGACTTCTAAGCCTACACTACATACATGATTTCTTTTAAGCCATTTTAATCTTTGCTCAAGCACTTTAATGCTTCTTTTTTTTTCCTTTTTTTTTTTTAAAAAAAAAGAGGTGCTTGTATTGGGATGTGATGCAAAATCACTATCGCATTTTCCTTTTAAAAGTGGATTGTAGAGAGAAAGAAAACATATGAGAGTGTAGAGACGTTTTAAGGAGGTAGAGATTGGAGGTTTTGCACAAATTCTAGCTTTGTTGTGTCATTATATTGAGTTGTATTTCATCAATAATTCTTTACAGTGAAGGCATTTATCGACAAGAAAAAATGAGTCGATTGATGGTGATATTGTGGTAGGAAAAATCAATTCGACTTTTTTTTGTCATAATGACGTCCTACAAACTTGTAAATTTATTTCATTAATAGTGAATGCATTATTGCCCCTTGTCTGTAAATGTAGCCCATTTTGGTTGAACCATGTAAATTGGTGTGTGCCTTTACTTTTGCTTGTGTTGTAGTTTGATGATTTCTTATTTTACTTGTCCTTGTTATTTATATGTTTTTCCAAATCTATTATATATTATTGTTCTTGGGCATTATGTTTTTGGTGCTTGATCTATTGGCACCACATCAACTAGAATTTGGCTTAACCTGATTGGCCAACAGATTGATCCCAGCTTAGATTATGATCTCTTCTTTCCAGTGCTGTCCTACTTTGCCCATTAACAATTTATATGTATTGCTTTATTTCCTTCGAAATTACGATTTATTAGTTTTTAAATTCCTTTTTTTGAGTAAATTAGGAATCAGTTCTTGAAAATAGTGTTTATTGCTCATTGATATGGGGTTTGGTGATGGCAAGGCGCTCGATTTCAAAGAAATGGGCAATAAAGCTTGAAACTAGAAGTAGTGCTAGCAATGGGCTTGGCACCCTAGCTCTACCCTATTGGCCCAGCTCTGAAAAACTAGTATGAGCCACTGGCACAATCCAACTAGACTTACCATGCTCTTTCTATTGGATATAGTGAAATCCAAAATCACTCACATAAAAAAATTTCATATTATGTGGGATTGAGATTGATAATGATAAGTTTCCTAAATAAAATAGAAATTAAAAAAAGATTAGGACTCTACGATACATCTTTTGGTTTTTTATATATATGTAACATTTATAGGAAATTTCCTATTTAGTATGGAGTCTTAACCTTATATATATGGGATAAAAGAAAGAATAATAGGTGTACTCTATTTGGGTCACCACATAGGAAATGTTGCATTCTCTAAAGAGAGAAGCAGGGGCCTCCTGTGCATGAGAGGAGAGGTCTTCCTTTTGAGAGAAGAAAGCTTCATATGGAGAGAAACACATGGATGTACCTCCTGTAGATTGAGAAGCTTGTTTCTTGTAAAGAAGCGGTGCCTATGAAGATTTTGGGTGTTTTCCCTTTTAGTGACAGAAAATTCCGGTTGCTATCAAGTGTCTCTTTTTGAAAAACGATTTAACTGTGAAATAGAGATGAGTCTCTTCATAGACAGTGGTTTAGCTGTGGAATAGATATGAAAGATCGATAATGGCGCCGATCAAGAGATTGGGTCTAAAAAGGTTAGCTCGACTGATTTTGTCGAAGGTTAGAGAGGTAACTCTATGTCTTAAAATATATGATGTAACTTTTATTGGTATAGTGGATTCCAGTTCGTCGTGCCCATGGATGTAGCCTTCTTGGGATGAACCACGTAAATCTTTGTATTCTTGTGGAGTGCATTTTATGTTTTATTTCTTGTATTATAGCACGTACTCTCTCCTATTTTGTTTCTAACTAGATAAATACATGATCTTGGTGGAATCCAACATTTCGATTCTTGTTTCTGCATCTAAAAAGATTCTTAAATCCTAATACTTTCTTCCTTTATTTTTTTCCCTTTTTATTTCATAGGCCGAAACAAACAAAGCAAGCTGGAGCTAGGCCTGGCCTATTACCTCTGCAATTTGGTCCAGTAGAGTTTAGGCTAGCCCTATAAGGATTGGGGCTAGGGCTGGACGTAGGCCAGGCTGGCTTACATTCAACCCTAAATGAAGGGGAACCTTGAAACGGGCTAAGCCACTATTTTCATTTAGATGCCAATTGCATTGCTCCTTTTAAGATTAATTTTTTTTTTTTTAATGTTAACAAATCTTTTTAAGTTATTATACTTAAAAAATGTATGCAAGGAGACTATTTACTTTTGATAAAAAGAGGTCTCAATCATTATCGACAGTTAGATTTGCAATCGGGTGGTTGAAAATGTGTCATTATTTAGTACAAAATCCAAAATAAATTTTTTTAAATGGTTGTGATAGACTTTCATCTATTAGATTTTATATCCAATAACTAAAAGTAATTGTGACCTTCTTATACTAAAAATAAATGATCTCATAATATACCCTCCTTAAAGAATATAAGATTAGAAGCATTCCACAAGTTCACACATATGCATGAAAGGAAAACTCCGCATGTCGTCACACATTCCTCCAGCTTAAAAAATGGCAAAAAATTGCTGAAAATGAAGGCCAACAATATCCATTCAGAAAGCCAGATCATAGTGTACACTTACTCCCTCGGGCAAAAAAATTACTTGGGAGTACTTCCTTAGAAAAATTGGGATCATACTGCTAGACAAAAATTTACCCGAGAGTGTGATGGGAGATATGCTCCTATGGGAGCCTCTAATCTTTTTGGAAAACATAAAACATGGACCCTCTCTTTTCAAAATTTCAAGCATATCTCTCTCTTTCTTTGATGAAATTCGGCATCTGTCTCTCCAACAACATGGATTAGGTTCTGCAAATTCACCAAAGAGATCAATTCCTTGATAATAACAGTACACCCACATGAGACTGTACGTGCACGTTTATCCATATAAGAAAATGGTTTGATAGTCCTATCAAAATAAAGAAAACCTTACCTCGTAACTCATTGAAAATTTATATACAGCCAAGGTTATAAACAATCAAATTAGAGGGCACCCCAAAAGTTTCACCCGAAGAGGTTATTTTGATGCCTAAATATCTTCAAATTGATCATCTCCACATCAATATGCATGGACATCAGAAAAAAATGGATTTCAAGTTGTGTAAATAGTGCATCTTGTAATTCATTTTTTAGACGGTCAATTTTCAAGATTTTCAAGTTTTCATAGATATGCTCAATCTACACTAGTATTTAAGTTTGAAATTTTATAATTAAAGATGAAAATATATGTTAAGGCTATCACAAAGATTTCCAATATTGAAACCACATTTCTTGACACTCATTGAAGCCTCAACTCTATGCAAACCACACTCCATTGCAAATCAAGCATTGTAAAACCCTTACATTGATAATCTTGGGTTGAATATTATAGTTGTGAAAAAAAATTAATCAAGATCTAAAAATAATATATATTGTAACAAATTATCTAGACCGTCCATTTTACGCTAAAAATACGTGTTTCAAAGATCTACATTATCTGTACCATGTTTTTAGTTTCAAATTTTATTGTTGGTGTTGAAAATTGATTTTAGAACCATCCTAGAGATTTTTATTGCCGAAATGCTTTTCAAACGAGGATTTGGGGAGGCTTTATTTTGTTTTCATCCGGCAAGTGTCCGGAAAATATGAGTCTGTCACCGCTCTCAGTGACATGAAAGCAAATGGATGAATGAAATTTGAAAAGGGATAGATTAAAATTCAAAGGAAAAAACAGATGGGAAAGAATTACAGCTAAGGGATCACATGTCATTCTTGACTTTTAGGAAGGAAGGCCAAGCCAAAAATCCCTCTCTCAATAAAAAAGCAACCATCCCCACTGGGTGCCCCAATTTTTAAAATTCAAAAGATTTTGAGGTCTCTTTGCTTTATGAGACAAATGCATCCTCAATCTTCCACTTTTCCAACCTCCAGCTCTAATCCCAATGCCACATAGCAAATTTCTCAAATATAATTTACTTCTCTCTCTTGGACCACATCCCTCAGCTCGCTCATCAAATCAAAACATGCGTCTTTTCGTACGCTTATTTTTAGAGATGGATGTAAAAAAAAAATTACTTTTACTATGCTTCAAGATAAATGGTGGAAAATAAATATTAAAACAGAATTTTAATTTTTTCAGAGTAAAAATTTCTCAATTCACAACCACCGCTCTATTTTAAATTAACAAATCTCAAAATTTTAGAGCCAAAATCCATCTTTAAGATGAATTTTGAAGGGGACGCTCTTCTACAGGTTAGTCGACCGATTCACCAAACACTTTACCCTTTCTAATCCCAACGTGATGAAAAGTAATTTTGACAAAATGATGATGCCACTATTCTCTCAATAATTTTACTGACAAAAAGAAAATCTTTTTGTATGCTAAGGATTCCCCACCTTCTCTCTCATATGATCTGCTTTTCTTGTTAAAAAAAGCTTCCCAAAACCAGCATCCCAAGTTCCTCTTTTTTTTTTTTTCTTAAAGGTTGTGGTTTCTACGAGGTTGCAACCGTAGACAATTTTGATGTAAAAAGTTTTTAGGATTATCCCAAAACCTACTTTCATATTTAATTATAAAATTTTAAACTTCAAAAGAAGTTAAAATCAATTAGATCTATAAACATATAAAAATCTAAAAAATAGACGGGCTAAATAATGTATTGGCACTAATACTCAAAATCCTTTTTTTTTTTTCATATTCATACATCCGATCTGATGTCTAGATGATCAATTCGAGGGTTTTTCAACATTAAAACAACTTGCGGTGTATCTTTAATTATACATTTTACCACCGCAACAACCTCCTATAAATTTTTTCTTTTCTTTTTTTAAAGCCAACAAAAAGACTTGTTACCATGAAATCTCATATCCTAAAAAAATCAAAAGAAAGCACGGATAAAAACCAAAACCAAGAGAAAAACTATGTTCCTTACCATTTTTTTGAATGCTCCTCCCTTTAACATTCCAAAAAGAAACCGCAAATCAAAAAGTAAAAATAAAGGAGAAAGAGATAGGAGAAAACTGAGAAGAAAAGCAATCTCTTAAAGAAAACATAACAAAAAACGAATGAATAGAGAGAGCCACTCACACACCCAAATGAGAAGCAAAATCAGATCGATGTAGAGAGAGAAACTGTTAGAGAGAGAGAGTGAAACTGTTTACCGTTTCAATTCATTCGCTGATTTAACTTTTTCACACTAACGCTAGCAGTGAAACCCGAGTACCGACCCATCGTTTACAGCAATCACAATGCGACATGTGGTCCTCGACTCAACGTGGTGTGTAAAGAAGTGTAGCACCCTCACCCTCCCCTTAATCTCCATCCGTGAATCTACTGCCAAATTTGGTTCCAATCCGACGGCCCCAAACTCGCCACCGCCTTGGCTTGCCATAAAAGGAAACGACTGGACGGAGAACGTGACGGACATGAACACCGTTCGGCCTCCGTCAATTTTCCCGGCGGGAATGAACATGAAACCCACCTGGTTGCCGGCGTAGATTAACTGGATGGTGCTGTCGTAGTGAGAGAAGACGGAGCGGTTAGGGTTTTTGACAGAGACGTATTGAGAGAAGGTGAAGTTGACGGCGCCGTTAGGGAGAGAGGGGGTGGGGGAGAGGTGGAAGTCGGGGATCTGGATTGCGTTGACGGTGATGTGGGGGTCCTTGGGCTTGAAAAGAGAGAAGAAGAGGATGAGGAGGACGATGATGAGGAAGATGAGGAAAATGGTGGCCACTATGCACGATGCAAGGTTGGGGCCTGGTCTCTGAGCCTGCTTCATTTCTCTCTGTGTCCTTATCTTTAGAGAGAGAAAATGGGCGTTTGGTTGAGTTAAAGATGATAATTGTCGAAACGGCGATGGCAGTAGTTTTACAGAGAGAGATTCAGAGGGGGCTTTTGTAGAGAGAGAGTGAGAGATTTAGAGGGGGTTTTGTGCGTGAGGAAGAGAGGGAGGGAAGGTATCTTCCGGGAGTAGAGAGAGAGAAGAGAGCATAATAAAATGGAGCTTTTGAATTTATAAATGGGAGGTTTTGACAAACAATGAGGGTGAACTTTAGGTTAATTTATGTGGTCATGAGGATGGGATAGAGAGAAGCTGTGGGACTGCTCACTCGTTAGAGACAGACATGGGAGTGGTGTCATAAGTCGGTCATGCTCCACATGTGTACGGCAATGGAACTTAGTGGGGAGCTCACCAACCGTGATTGTAATGTCGGGTGATTTAACTGCTAACTGTCCGGTTAAATCGGAACGGTTTCGATGATCAATCGGTAATTTAAAAAATATATTTATATAAATTTTGAAAAAATAAAAAATTTGATTTGTAATACATTTTTTTTAATATTCTTTACATTATGATAAAGATTATAAATTGCTTTGATCATTAATATTTACTTTTATATTGTTTTCAAAAAATTTAAAAATATCTTTAGACACAAATCGATTCGTTGAAATCTATTTTTTTATTAATTTTCAATTTCATTTAAATATGTTTTGTTTTAATCACTCTCTATATGTTTTTCATATTTTAGTAGATTTTTATTCTTTTGTACCTTTTAAATTTTTTCAACACTTTCTTGACCACCCGACACTTGTCCTATCGAAACAGTTGAATCGACCGATTTACCGATTAAGCCAATTAAATCACTTCCGGGCCAAATCCAAGTTAACTTTTCCGGTTCGATTTTACAAACTATACTCACCGATGACCGGCAGGCGTCCAAGCTGCAAAGTGGAGGCTTTATTATTCAAGGGAAGCAACCTCCACAACACCTTTGAATCCATTGGGATTCATTCAAGTCGCTAAAATTAAAAACATAGACTAACTTTATGTGCAGTAGCATTTACCAATTATCCGATCGAATTAAGAATTGGTGGGACTAGCCTCGTTCTTAATTTGCGATTGAATTTTGACGGAATATTTGGGTGTTTTAGAAAATCGGCAAGTTTGTCAGGGATCCAAGTAATTTGGATCCCTAAATTGTTTAGTTTCTATCTTTTTTATTTTTAAATTAAAATTATTCATTTAATATTTTGAAATCAATTCTCTGAAAGTCGTCTAATTTGCCAATTAATACCAAATTTTTGGAACTTGTTCACCCAGCCGATACGGTTTCTGAAACATGTATGTACCTCAATAACTGCCACCCAGTAAAGTCCCTCAAAAATTTGAGACATGTAACACTGCGATTCTCTCTCTCTACCTATAATCGCATGGATCACGGTTCGCTAATTACATGATTATTAAGGGGCGTAAATATGGAACTGTGTACCTCTAATTTATTTGAATTATCTCTCTAAAGTATTTGTGTATAATGGGACTATTTATCTTTGATACAAAGAGGCCACAATTATTTAAAACCATCTGATGTGAAATCTGATAGCTTTGATGTATCACAAAGTTTGATAAAAAATTTTTGAAGTTTGAGTTTGGTTGATAGAATAAATGCAACCATCTAATTTCACATCCAATTATGAAAATTAATTGTGACCATCTTGTACCAAAGATAAATAGTCTTATTGTATACTTTGCCATCATGAAATTATTTTATATTGGCTCTTTATCTAAATCTTTCAAAGTTAAATTTTTGTGGGGCTACTATTTTATGAAGGAAAATTGTTTCATACGGGCTGGACTGTATTTCTACAATATGCGGTCTAAAGGTAACTAACGATCCAAATGTATTTTTAATATAATTATTATGTCTAGTTTTTTTAAAAAAAGAAGAAATTCATATTCATGATCTCTATGTTAAAGATTATTTATTTTCTAAAACTTAGTATTTCACTTATAGGCGAAAATGAACAGTGATTTCGCCTACCCTCATCATCATCTAAACTTCATCGCACGGTCACAGTTGTCCGGTAGTGTTTCATTTTTCATTTTGTTTTTTTACTAATTGGAATGATCTGAAATTTGGAGCGTGTGCACATCTTAGTGAGACGCACCTAATTATATTTTACGAATTATTTTTTTTCATATTTTTATTAGGTGCACTTCACTAAGATGTACACACGATCCAAATTTCAAGTAATTTGGATTTCTAG